CCAATGGCACCCACGAAACAACTTGCCTTCGAAAGGGCGCTCGGCCTCACCGCCTCACCCCATGCACTCGCGTCTTCAAATGGCAGCGTTGCGTTTGCGACAGGGGGCGTTGCGGTCGTCGTTGCACTGCCCTTTTCGACGCGATTCGCGCCGCAACGCTTCGCCACTGGCCGAAAACGCGTCGCCTCGCTTTCCTTATCTTGTGATGGCTCCATTCTCGCCGTTGGCGAACGCGGCCACCAACCTGTGGTCCAAGTATGGTGCCTCAAGTCAAACACAGTCACGGCAACACTCGAAACCACCCACCCCTTTCAAGTCCTCGCCTGCGTCTTTTCCCCAACCAATTCCCACCTCGTGTCTATCGGCGCGCGAAGGGACCCGCGCCTGATTGTCTGGGACTTGAGCACCGAGCAAATCGTCGCCACGACAAATAAAATACCCACCAGCGTGACTGCCCTGAGTTTTGACCCAAGCGGACATTTCTTTGTCACTGTGGGATTCAGATACTGGGAATTTGATTCCATCTCGAAGTCGGGATTACTGGAGCCGCATCAGCCGATTCCAGTTGTTGAAGGTTCCTTTGCTACCGTCGGAGAGCACAAGAATAGCGTGTTTATGGACGTTGTATGTTTTCGAGAACATGAAGGTGGTTCTCAGTCGCCAGATTCGGAAGGCCAGTCATTCGTGTATTCCATCACGGAAAAGGGAATCCTGGCCTTGTTCAATGAAGAACGAGTCATGGAGAAATGGGTCGATTTGAAGGTTGTTTTTTGTCTGCTTGGTTGCGCGACCGACTTGTCCCGTGAGTCGTTTGAGGCACGCATTCTGATTATATTTTTTTGATTCACGCAGGTCAAGGGAGGCTTTTCGATTGATATCTGTTCGAGATTTATTGTCTGCGGATGCACGGACGGAGTGATTCGGTGAGATGGCTTCAAGGTTTCGTGTCTGGAGAATTGGGTCCTGAAACTGGTCACGCCAAATTATTCGAACCAACCACCATGAAATATATCACCACACTCCCGAAACCTCTTCATGACCCGCACCAAACCCCTCCGAACGCAGTCTTCCCCGATGCCATTTCCGTCAAAGTCGACCCGTCGGGACACTTCATCACTGCCATGTACAGCGACCACAGCATATTCATTTGGGACGTGACGGATGTCGAGCAAGTCGGGAAACACAAATGCTTCTTGAAGCGCAGCGATTGCGTGTGGGATGTGGAGGTAAATTAATCAAACAAATAGGGAATTGAAATTTCACAAACCTTTGTGGGTATGTGGCAGCTTTGAAAGAGAACAGCTAATAAAGTAAATCCCGCAATATCCCGCAGAGAACTACAGCCTCAGCAGGAGAGGGGACAGATGAGAAATGCAACAACCTTGGTGAACCCCCAATGGATCGCGATTAGGTATAAAAAATAGATAGAAACTGGCTGGTTTTTGGAGGAAGTATTGCCTTTGGGGCTGGGTCCGCTTGGTTTGCGTGTGTTGTTTATCTTGGGTGCGTGGATTGGGGGGGGGGGGGTTTTTTTTTTTTTTTTTTTCCCCCCCCCCCCCCCCCCCCCCCCCATTTTCTTGCTACTTGTGATTCTCACGCGCTTTCTCTCTGATCTCTGTCTTTAGAAACCAATCACCATGGAATCCATCACAATCCTCACAGACCCGTTCGAAAAAGCGCTCAACGTGTTGCACGGCACGGACCCCGACGCGTTGCAAAAGATTCGTGAAGCCGAGGGGCGGACGCTCAAGAAGGCTGCGAATGACCGTATTTTCGAGCCTAAAACGACGGGGGCGGTTGGCAAGTATATGGCGCAGCGGGGTGGAGAGGCGGTTGCCGTACCGGTAGGAGGGAAGCGGGAGGCGGGTGTGGCGGAATATGAGGATGCGGAGAGGCCCAAGAAGAAGAAGGGTGGTGGTGGTGGGTCGCAGTTTGATTTTAGTTCTTGGTGAAGAAATGAAATAAATTAAAAAGGACGCGATGGAAAGGGCCCGAAGGCGAAATCAAAACAAACTGCGCACGGAAAAAAAACAAGCAAAAACATCCCCGAAATGGTGCGTCTTCCCCCCTTTCCCTGCCACTCTCCCCCCCATGTACGAGTGGATCGAGACAGAGTGAGGAAATCTTTGGTAGACAGACCCAGCGAAGCGAGGCCCGAAACGAGGGCGGGGTTGATCAGAGCAACTTTGGTGGGGCGGGCTCTTGTTGCCCAAAGTAACTTCCGAGTCCCTCGCGGATTTGTTGAGGACTTTTCCAGCATCCTGTCAGCCAATGTGGTTCCAGTCCCCTTTTTGTTTTGGGAACTCCTTCCTAAGCGCAGCTCGTTCCGTTTCCCTCTTTTTGCGGGAAGCATAACGAGTTGATAAATTACTTGGTGACCTTAAGGCGAATCTGACTGGCTTTTCCTTCACTCCTCTCTCCCTCTCTGTAACTCTCCTTCCCTCCCTTTGTTCTGACTCTTGATTTATTTTCCAGATCGTCGAGTCATAAAATCTGTAGCCCCTCCCACCACCTCTTCAACAAACAAGGTATGTTCCGTCGCATCCCACACACCCCCTCTCCCTCCCCCGCAACACACCGAAAAAAAGAGAATGGATGAACAACCTTGAATATATCTGTCAATCCCATGAAATTTTTGCGTTCAGTTTGATCGCTTCTCAGCGAACACTGGGCCACGTGTTTAGAACTTCATACAACGTTTCTGATCTTTTTTTATCTCCTCTCTCTCCGCTCTCTTTGATTTGTGATACTCCAGCGCTTTTTTCTAACTTTGCGCTTTTCGATCACAGCTCCTTCAGTCTCCTGCCGCCCCCTTCCTTGTCTCCCTCCCACACTCGGCTTTCTGCTGGGAAACAAGACTTTTCACATGCAAGAATCTCTTCTTTCCCATCTCAACTCTCGAGCCTCCACCCCCCGCCCCTTCCTCCCTTTCTTCCCCCTAACAACTTTGTGGATGTGTGGGGTTAGCCCACACCTTCGCGATCCCTCAATGGATCGCGATGAACGGAGCCACGATAGAGCGTATTTGCCATTGTACAAGGCTTGGTTAGGCCTGTGTGGTGCCTTTCTGAGCAAGAAAACTTTGGAAAATCTCTTCCATTTTTTTTCTCTCTTTCTCTTTGTCTTTCTCTCTCTGTTTTTTCCCTTTTTTTGAATAAATGTTTGGCACATTCAGTTTCATATTCTAGAACACCCAATTTTTTCTTCGCCAAATGGTGAATTCGAAGGAAATTCGGACCAAAACTGCATCCCAATGGCGCCCACGAAACAACTTGCCCTCGAAAGGGCCCTCGGCCTCACCGCCTCGCCCCACGCACTCGCGTCTTCAAATGGCAGCGTTGCATTTGCGACAGGGGACGTTGCGGTCGTCGTTGCACTGCCCTTTTCGATGCGATTCGCGCCGCAACGCTTCGCCACTGGCCGAAAACGCGTCGCCTCGCTTTCCTTATCTTGTGATGGCTCCCTTCTCGCCGTTGGCGAACGCGGCCACCAACCTGTCGTCCAAGTATGGTGCCTCAAGTCGAACACAGTCACGGCAACACTCGAAACCACCCACCCCTTTCAAGTCCTCGCCTGCGTCTTTTCCCCAACCAATTCCCACCTCGTGTCTATCGGCGCGCGAAGGGACCCGCGCCTGATTGTCTGGGACTTGAGCACCGAGCAAATCGTCGCCACGACAAATAAAATACCCACCAGCGTGACTGCCCTGAGTTTTGACCCAAGCGGACATTTCTTTGTCACTGTGGGATTCAGACACTTCAAATACTGGGAATTTGATTCCATCTCGAAGTCGGGATTACTGGAGCCGCATCAGCCGATTCCAGTTGTTGAAGGTTCCTTTGCTACCGTCGGAGAGCACAAGAATAGCGTGTTTATGGACGTTGTATGTTTTCGAGAACATGAAGGTGGTTCTCAGTCGCCAGATTCGGAAGGCCAGTCATTCGTGTATTCCATCACGGAAAAGGGAATCCTGGCCTTGTTCAATGAAGAACGAGTCATGGAGAAATGGGTCGATTTGAAGGTTGTTTTTTGTCTGCTTGGTTGCGCGACCGACTTGTCCCGTGAGTCGTTTGAGGCACGCATTCTGATTATATTTTTTTGATTCACGCAGGTCAAGGGAGGCTTTTCGATTGATATCTGTTCGAGATTTATTGTCTGCGGATGCACGGACGGAGTGATTCGGTGAGATGGCTTCAAGGTTTCGTGTCTGGAGAATTGGGTCCTGAAACTGGTCACGCCAAATTATTCGAACCAACCACCATGAAATATATCACCACACTCCCGAAACCTCTTCATGACCCGCACCAAACCCCTCCGAACGCAGTCTTCCCCGATGCCATTTCCGTCAAAGTCGACCCGTCGGGACACTTCATCACTGCCATGTACAGCGACCACAGCATATTCATTTGGGACGTGACGGATGTCGAGCAAGTCGGGAAACACAAATGCTTCTTGAAGCGCAGCGATTGCGTGTGGGATGTGGAGGTAAATTAATCAAACAAATAGGGAATTGAAATTTCACAAACCTTTGTGGGTATGTGGCAGCTTTGAAAGAGAACAGCTAATAAAGTAAATCCCGCAATATCCCGCAGAGAACTACAGCCTCAGCAGGAGAGGGGACAGATGAGAAATGCAACAACCTTGGTGAACCCCCAATGGATCGCGATTAGGTATGGAAAGTAGATAGAAACTGGCTGGTTTTTGGAGGAAGTATTGCCTGCACTCGATCCACTGCACTCACAAGTTCACAACCCTGCGCAACACACGCTTGTGTGCCCATTCCCCACGTGCAAAATAATGGCACACAAGCTCAGTGCATTTTTTATTTTGTTTTTTTTGTCGGGAAATGTTTGGATTGTTTTGGACTCAGAGGTTCCCATGCAACTAGGCTCTATGCATATACCCTTTCGTTCTGCTGAGAATTAAAGAGATGTTCCAAGTGAATTTGGTCATTTAGCAGGTGACCTTTCTGTAGGGACTGTCAAAATCTAATATCGTCGGCATCAATGGTTTAGTGGTATAATTATCGCCTGCCACGCGGTAGTCCCGGGTTCGATTCCCGGTTGATGGACGTTTTGCTTGGCTTTTGGGCGTGGAGGGAGAGTCAGGGAGGTGGGGATGTCTGTTGTTGTGTCACTCAGACGACCAGCCCGAAAAGGGTGGCTCCGTGCGCGTTTTGGACGGTTAGTCGCGCTCGGATCTGGCTGGCGATTACGCAATGTGTGATATATCCAGTTTTTTTGGAGGTTCAGAACAACTACAGGGATGATTGTTTTGGTGGAAGTCTATGAAATCGACAAGACGTAATCGCATTTTGTCAGCTTAATTTTAACACAAGTGACATCTTTTTCGATAATATGGGAGTTGTGTAGGGGACAGGTGCCCTGGAATTCTTCCTGCTGACATGGCTGGCCCAGTGCCCTTTATCTTTTACACAATCGCGACTACAAGCGTCGCTGCATATTCCATGCACAAAGGATTGCAGAGGTGGTTGCGACACAAATGTCTGAATGACGCGACTAAAAACTGTTTATTTGTTCGCAACGAGAACTCAAAAGCATTTCAGAGATCCTTGCGCCCCTTTGGAATCGGGAAATTTCGCATCATATGAGGCGGTGGTGGCTTGGGTCCCACTGGAACCTCGGGCTGTTTCCAAGCCGATCCTTGCTGATTCGCGTACGCCTGCTTCAAGCGAGCAATGTCCTGTCGGAGCTTATCCTCAAGAGTGGATCTTGCCGTCGCGAAAGGGATGCAGCAAAGGAGGACGATGATGGCAAAGTACGGGCCAATGAGCTTCATTTTCGTGATGAAAATTGTCAGAATTTTTTGAATCAAAAACCTGGCCTAACTCCTTCTTATTTTTGAATCGCAAGTATGGAAAGTACTGAAGGTCTTGGGGTGAAGGCGTGAGATTGAGCACCTGATTTAGCAATCGAGTGGCATAATTCCAGAATGATTCCCCCTTCTTTTTTTTGGCGTTTTGAGAATTCTCGAAGGACGAGGGTTTACACTGGCAACATAAAAAAAAAGCCAAATATGCGAGGATTAGAATGAAGTATTGTGCCTCGTAGGACACAGGCCTGGTTTCGTTCTCCAATGGTGTCCGTAAATTCGGACCAAAAGTGGTTCTCGAAGCCGAAGGTGTCAAAAAGTTTCCCGTCGAATGGCACCCACGAAGCAACTTGTCCTCGAAAGGGCGCTCGGCCTCACCGCCTTGCCCCAGGCACTCGCATGTTCAAATGGCAGTGTTGCGTTTGCGGCGGGCGGCGTTGCGGTTGTGGTTGCCCTGCCTTCACCGTCTTGTTCACCTCGACCGCAACACGTCATCGCTGGCCGCAAACGCGTTGCTTGCCTTGCATTATCGCACGACTCCTCCCTTCTCGCCGTTGGCGAACGCGGCCACCAACCCGTCGTCAACGTGTGGTGCACAAAGACAAACACCCTCACGGCGACTCTCAACAACGCACACCCCTTCGCCGTCAAAGCCTGCGTCTTTTCGCCAACCAATTCCCATCTCGTGTCTATTGGTTCCCATAGCGACCCCCATCTGATTGTCTGGGACCTCAGAACCCAGCAAAAAATCGCCACCGCCAAAATACCCACCAGCGTGACCGCCCTAAGCTTCGATCCGAGCGGCCGTTTCTTTGTCACCGTCGGATTCAGGCACTTCAAATACTGGGAATTTGATTCCATCGCGAAATCTGCATCACTTGCTCAACATCAGCCAATCCCGCTCATTGAAGGCTCCTTTGCCACGGTGGGCGAACACAAGAATAGTCTGTTTATGGATGTCGTATGTTGTCGAGATCACGGTGTTGATTCTCAGTCGCCGGATTCGGAAGGCCAAGCGTTCGCGTATTCTATCACGGAAAAGGGAATCCTGGCCTTGTTCAATGAAGACCGAGTCATGGAGAAATGGGTCGATTTGAAGGTTGTTTGCTTTGTCTGTTGATTCCACCGCCGACTTTTCCCCGCATCGAGCGAAGGGTGTCGTTTTTGGGTTTCGATTCCTGATTTTTCGATTCGTGCAGGTCAAGGGAGGCTTTTCGATTGATATCTGTTCGAGATTTATTGTTTGCGGGTGCACGGATGGAGTGATCCGGTGAGATAACTTCAAGGTTTCGTGTCTGAAGACTTCGGCCCTGAAACTTGTCACGCCAGATTATTCGAACCAACCACCATGAAATATATCACCACACTCCCGAAACCTCATCATTTGGGTGTCGATGTGGCTCACAGCATCGGAACGAGGTATCTACCCTTCGAAGCACTTTCTCAAAAACACCCACCCACCCTCACACACACACCTCAGTTACCCGTCACAAACCCCTCCGAACGCAGCTTTCCCCGACGTCATTTCCGTTAAAGTCGATCCATCGGGACACTACATCACCGCCATGTACAACGACCGCAGCCTGTTCATTTGGGACGTGACAGACGTCAAACATGTCGGGAAATACCAAAGCTTCTTGAACCACAGCGATTGCGTGTGGGGTGTGGAGGTAAAAATAAACCAAATATGGAATGGATTTTCATAAACCTCTGATCTGGAAAAGCCCCCCCTGACACCCATTTTTTTTAGGTCGTTCCAGACGCCTCCCCCGACTCCCATCGATCCCACACACCCATTCCCTCCGTCACAGATCCCATATCAACCCCTCCACCTCCCCCAGGTCTCCCACCGGGCACGTTTACGACATACTCTTCAGACACGACGATTCGGTTCTGGAACGTGGACCCACACCACCACCTAGGGGATGAAGCAGCGGGGCGGTATTTTCGGAGAAATGTGTATTCGAAAGAGTTGATTCAGATTGTGTATACGGATACGGACGCGTTTTTGGAGGCGTGCAAGAGGCGGAGTGGGGGCGGGGAACAAGGTTTGATTTCTTGACCTCGATTTCTGAACCAACCCCACTCACACACACACATACACTCACACAAACTTTCAGACGAAACCACTTCCGCGAAAACGCACACGGACAAATCCGGAATCCGATCCCTCCGCATCAGCGCGGACGCTAAACTCATGGCCAGCGGTGACCGTGCGGGAAATCTGCGCGTATACGAATTAGACACATTCACGCAAAAGTGCGTCATCGAGGCGCATGATGCCGAGATTTTGGGGATTGATTTCACGACGCTAGAAAGCAAGGCTTCTCCAGGTCTCCTCATGGCCACGGCCAGTCGCGACCGTCTTGTTCACATTTTCGACGTTCGACGCAATGGTGCCACGTGCTCTTTGATTCAAACGCTCGATGATCACACTTCCTCCATCACGGGAGTCAAGTTTGCGGAGGGTGGGAGCAGGCTCTTGACCTCCGGAGCCGACAAGTCGATTGTGTTTCGAACGATTCAAAATGTAAATTACATATCCTGCTTATAATTACGCGTTTCTGTTCTTTCCCCCACTTACAGCTCATGAATCGCAGAATCCAAACAAATCACCCACTTACACCCCCCACCACAAACACACCACCCGTTCGACCCTCTTCGACATGACCCTCTCCCCAACCTCTCCTCTCCTCGCTAGCATCACACAAAACCGACTCGACCTCTTCCACACAACCACAGGCAAACTCACGCGCTCTCACACCTTTTCCGAAACCACCACCCCCACAACTTCTTCGTTCGCACTCCTCAAAGTCGCCATCGACCCGACAGGAAAGTTTGCCGTCACAGCTGCCTCGGACCGCGTGTTGCGCGTCGTTCATTTGGGTACCGGGGATGTGCTTGCGGTTGGGGAAGGACACGCAGAGGGTGTGACGGGGTTGCTGTTTTTGGAAAAGGGGAGGATTGTGAGTACGGGTGCGGATGGGTGTGTGTTTGTTTGGCGGTGGGAAGCGGCGGCGCCACGGCCTGGCGTGAGAGGGGCGCGGGAGGATGAGGTGGATGAATGTTCAACTGTTGTTGGTATTGGGAAAGGTAGGAATGGGGGTAGTGCAGGGGTGATGAAGAAGGAGGTGGGTGGAGTGGAGTGTGGGGTGAGGAGTGGGAGTGTTGGCGGGGAGTTTATGAAGGTGTTTGAGGAGGGTGGGGAGGAAGAGTTGCCTGTGTGGGCGAGAACATCGAAGAATATGAGCAGCGCAGAGGCGGGTGGATTTGCGTCGATGGAGGGAGATCCGAGGAACTTGCCGGTGCCGAAACGAGGCATGTGGGCTTCGGTAAGACCCCTTTACCACCCCGTGTTTATTATGTGGAGCCACACCTCTGATGCACCGCGTGTTTTTGTTTTGTAGCGCGTCGAAAAAGAAGGCGTGGTCCATCTGTTTTCCGAATCCTCCGACATTCAAAAACCCGTCGCAACTTTCGCAAACCTGTTTGACCGGCGCTACTCGATCGAATCCACTTCCGTCATTGCGACCCCAACTGGCAGTGAGGGCTCCACGTCTCTCAACACGGGTGACCTTGTTATACAAGATTTGGAACCGTTGACTCCCACAGACGAAGAAGAATCCGCACCGGTGCATTCAAACCCAACCGAGACTCTCGAGGAAATACCCACTCCACAGGAAGACCCGACCTTATTCATGGAGGACACCCAAACACTAGACCACCTCAACCCCTCCACTCCCCCCAATTTCGCGGTTTCGCAACCCCTCCCGCGCGACCCCGACGCTGCTGAAGATCCACCCGTCTCTCAAGACTCCTCCCTCTCAGACCCCAAAGCTTTCTCCTTTGACAGCAGTAGTAACTCCTTGTCTTCTACCTCGAGCATTCCCGACGGGTTCTCAAGCCCGTCAGGATCCGTGGAAGCTGACCTTGCGCCCACGCTTGACCCCACCGCTGTCGTCAGGCAAAGCATGTCTGCACAGCATCACGTCCTGGCGCGGGATACCTCGAAAAGTGGCAGTGGAGGAGGGATCGTGATAGAAACCGTGTTGGATCAAATCAGGCAGCAACAACTCCATTTCGAAACGCTGCTGAATGGATCGACCGCAGAAGAGGCATCAGATCCTGCTGCTGCTCATGTGGTGGAAGAAATGGCGGAAAAGAAACCAAAGGAAGACGCGTCGAGTCCATTGCGGAGTCCGTTGGTGTCTCCCGGGGATATGGGACGGTCAGCGGTCAAC